GATACATTCACATTCGTGTGCAAGAGCCACACCAGTGCGATCCTGGGGCATGCCTTTAACACTTTGGAGACCGCGCGTGTTTTACGTTCCGCGGCCGCGCGGGACTTCGGTGAAATTTTTAGGGATCTTATCTAGCAAATTCAAAAGAAGAACCCACTGTATAATGCAGAAGAAATCTTATCGGATAAAATGGAAAAGAAAATGAATGAAAAACCTAATAATTGTTTCCGAAATGCGAGCTGAAAGGTCCTATGCGGTCGGAGGACTGCAGCCCACATATGGGCTGCGTGGGCTCCAAGGTGTTAATCTGAGGGTGTTGCTGCTCAAAGCAACACAAGTTTTCTATGAGCTTCGATTCTTTGTCCACTGACTATGAAAGGGACCTAATCAGTATGCCGCAAGAAAGCTACAAATTCCAAAATAGTTTCGCTTGACTAGCGCCATGTTTGGAATAGATAGTTCTAGTTGCCGACCATTTTGGTCATTCATGAGCGAGTCGTGCTTGTTCCACGCGGCATTCCACCTAGAGTGACTCTGGCAAGAATGAAATTGGGGTTACAGCATAGGTCACATTTTTCGGCTTTAGGAACAGCACAACCTGGAGCATCGCGGGTCGGAGTCATCTCACGAGCAACGTATGACCACCATGACTAGCACTACCAATGAGTTCTACGACCAGTCCGCAGTTGCTGCGGAGACGCCTAGCCATGATGATACAAGCGAGGTAAAGATAAAGAGCGTAGCAGAACCGATGATTCGTGAGTTCATTCAAGAGACAGCATTCACGGATCATTTCGCACACTTTGAAGAAAACGCGAAACGCTCTCCGTTTTGCGAGTCATACACAAAAAAACGGGAGCGGTCACTGGACGCCGGTCTCTAACAAGTTGTATTTATTAAAACGTACAAAAGTACCTATTAACTTACAGCATGATAATGATAACTCTCTCTACATGCGTTCGATGTTCGAAAAGGATCAGCATTATCACCCTGACTCGGCTCTCCCGATCGCCACGCAACGTCGCCGTGGTACCAATGAGCAAGTTGAAATTCGAACTCAAATGCATTCGTCAAGCCATTCGACTTTGGTTCGTAGTTACCAAAGGCCAAACGAAGACATTCCACCAGACACAGGAGGTAAGGATTTACAAATTGGTGTTATAAGCTCAGGCGTCGGAAGCGTAGGATCAAGGAGGACTAGCTGGCGTCTCGCTGAAAAGGAAGGGTCTGAAATCCTCAGGAAATCTCGAAAGACAGGTATTAGGGTGTCCCAGAAAGTTGCGCGTTTTTCGAAATTCTAGCCGGCAGTGCTCGAACAACAAGTAATATTTAAACTCGATATACAGGGTAAACCCAAACTCGGAAAGGAAAGCATGCCACTCGTAACTTTCGTTAATGAAAACCAGGAGCTTCTGTCTGCATTGTACTCATTTTGGTAATTCAGTTCAATCATTGGATTGATCACATGGTTTGTATCCGTTCCTGAATGAGCAAACCTTTCGCTCCTCGAGAAACAATACTCCTTTGCTCCAACAAGTCGATCAAGCTCGACCATGCTCGACCAAGCCGAGCGTTACATTGCGAAACAACTCATACTCAGATAATGCTCCAGCAGAAACCACCGAGTT